CCAAGGATCTGTGAACTGCCGTTCACTTAGAGTTTGTATACTCTTGGAAGTCAAGCTCTGTGCAAGGTGCCGTGTGCCCCGTCACACAAACAGAGTGGACAATACGCGGGGGCAATGAGTTTCGACATCCGGTTGAGCCATGGATCGTAGCATTTCAGCGACGCCATAACTAGGGTTAGATCGTATCTCAAATTCAGATACAAGACTTAAGAACGGTCCACGCTGTCGAAGCCCTCAAAATTTATATTGAAGTTCATCATATCCAGCAACTGTCCCGTTGCAGTGGATATCGTAAGCATTCGCATTCCTAGCAGCAGCAATGCCTATACATTTCTATACGAGTTTTAGCCGCACTTCCGAACAGTCGCCCTCCAAAAGTGCACAGATAGATCTCCGACAACTGCTGCATAAAAGTGAGCGGGCTATGACGTTCAATAATTGATATGGTCACCGCCAGTGGGCTACACATGCGAATTATGTGAGAAACAGAAAAACATACTTTTATATACGACGCTACAGCGAATCTAGTTGGCTAAGCAATGCATGTTCTACAAGCGTACCAGGAGCTATAATAAGCCAACAATCAATCACTTCTCAATTCGCTTTTTTAGTCTATAATTTGCGTCAAATCTAGAACTCGCCTCGCCAGCATAGTCATTGCGGTTTATTCTCTAAAGGAAATGCTTTACATTTGAATGCTTGGTGAGTTCCATTGTGAGGTCTTGTCTCGTCAAAGTGCACGAGTCAAACCGTTTATGTCTGAATATATCTCAATCCTTGGCACCACTAACGTTCGCTTTTTCGATACTCTAAGCCTGCGGGCACATTTCTTCTAGGCAAATAAAAGTGCATGTACCTCTTTTGGATGTAACTGACATTCAAACAAATCCAGAAAAAACTTCGTAGCTCAATGAGAGTGCCGGCATGCCATTTTCTAGTCTAGTCTACGTCTTCAATCGACGACGCGCCGGTCTTTCGCTGGCGTAACGTTGACTCTTTCTCGCTAGCCTCGGTCTCTGAATAGCTGGCCAGGATTTCTAGCACGTCAGCATTCTCTTCGCCCTTAGCAATCTCAGCCGCAGTTCTGCCATCTGATGCCTTAATCGCCAGTAGCTTTTGGCAATTGGCGGTGGATATACTTGAAAGCAAAGCCTCTGCAGCCTCTGGGCGACCGTGGAAAGCGCTCCAGTGCAGTGCAGACCAACCATCTCCATCCACACTGAGGACATCAGCTCCAGCTCGCACAAGTTTTTTGATGAATTCATCCGTATCAACAGGCGAGCCGCAAGCCACCATAAGCGCAGTCCATTGGTCTTCATCTGTCTTTGCATTTACCTTGTTCTTGATTACAGTCCAGAGTGCATCAAAGTCAGCATCAGCGCCTGCTGCAAGTGCCTCAGCAATGGCTGCCTCGGGGGTCAAGCCATCTTTTTTGTCTTTGATCGAAGCAGTCGCAGCTGCGGTTGTCGGAACCGTAGCCGCCGAGCCATTTACAGCAGCCGCGGCATCCTCAGCCGATTCGCCTTCAAAGCGCTCGTTCCAGATGCGGCCATTGCGACATCCTAGAATATACGCTTGCACGAGTGGATTATCCCACAAATTAATGGGCATCATGACGCTCTGGATCATAACGACGTGATTGATTCCCATTTTGAAATGAATTAGCGACGAGATGCACGCGCCAATTAACGTCTGTTTGATGAACTCCTTAGCCTTAGCCAATTCATGTGCCTCGTACGTTGTCTCTGTCAGATCTGCGTAATTAGGAGACTGATCGAAGGGCGATTTGACGCCAGGTACAAAGATCTTCCGCGTATCGTGTTTGCGCTCGATGAGCTGTTTGAGGTAAAGTCCGATGAGAAGTGCGGTTATTTGGCACACAAAGAAAGCTGTGCGTGCAGCCATGAGCGTTGTTCCATTTTCAAAGTCGATTTTGCCCATAAGGAACATCATAGGCAGCATAATGAACATGCGCATTGGACTCTGCTTGCCAGCCATTGTACAGGAAAGATGTATTGTCGTCGAATAGGCAGTGGAGAGCTAGAAAATGTACATGGTGTGGATACACAGTATATGCCGATTAATAGTAGAAAGTATCGCTACAAAGCAATTAAAAAGCGTTTTGAACGTCGCTTGCAATCAAGCGTCTTATGGAATCTTCTTCACGACTTCCAGCACCGAGACAAATGTGTTATTTCTGGTACTAATTCTTCGAAAAGCGCTGTCTTTGTTTATAGAGAGGTGCTTCAAGTTTGCTAAGCACCGCTGCTGAACGAAACAGACCTGCTCGGAGAGACACGATAGTCTTTGTTTGAATGTAGTTGAAGACAATCCTGAGCTAAAGAGCTTGCAATCAAGACAGCTGGTGCAAAAAGCGTAGGTGAAGCAAGTTAATTTTGAGGTGCATAACCTACAGCTTACGTTTGCAGTGTTGCGCATGGATCAATTTCGGGCTCTTCCTCTGCATATGTCGCAATTGTCTCTTGTGTGTGGCAGTGTTGGTCTCAATAATGCTGTTGTAGATTTATCGATCAAAGCCTCTCAGTACTGAGTCATGTACAGTCATGCCTTTGCCGTTATTCTGTAATTTTCTTGTCAAAAGCTAATTAGCAAGAGAACTGCCATGCTAAACGTAAGCGATGACACTAGTACTATATTAACTGATGTGGTAATTTAGTATAGAGGAAAGGCTGGATGATTGCCGTGTACCAAGGCGAGCCCTACAGGCTTTGATATTTACTTATGTAGTCTTTGAGCAGCAGCTACCAAAGGCATCTCATTCATTACGAAATTTGATGCCAAATATCGTCGTCTACTATCGTGTGGTCTCTAAATAATTAGTTCATACAACTGCATTATTTTCTGAGAATTGCATTATTCAAGCAATATCGTACCGGCTGTCCACGGATTTGATAATCCTATACAAGATCGCTGAGCTATCTTCCTGTAAAGCAGCCGACGGCCGAAAAAGCTGCCTAAGATTGCAAACGCCATCGTAACGCATTTAATTATAACTTTTTGTCACAAAGTCAATTTCTCACATTGGAAGTTCAAATCGATCCAGTTGTAACTGAGGCTCTACACTTTGAGTTTCATTCAGACGATTCTCTTTGGTAATTGCGAAAGCATTTTTGGTTGTCAAAGCTCCAATAGACTCGAATTTATTACATTTGCAGCAACATGTTGGATTTTGTTTCAATTGCTTTAATATGTGACAAATGTTGCTGTTGTTATGCTCTCCGATTGTTTGGAGTTGGTCTACCGCTGCGTATACCAGCTGTAGCTGGGTTTTAACGTCATCGAAGCGCTCATATATATTGTCGATACATTGCAGAGGATGCACAGCGGGTTGTAATAAAAAGAGCTGATTCGTTTTCTTCGCTTGACTCGAAAAAAATCCTTGCTGAAGCCAGCACCTCAGACGAGATCCCGCACCGAATATCGCTGCTCGGTATTCTTCGATTTGTTCATTTCGACTAGCAAAGCTCTGTACAATGTAGTCCTTAAACTCGACCACAACTTCGACGCTTTGAAGAATCAAAAACTGAAAAAGCATTTCCACATCCACAGAAGGTGACAAAGAATTTGATGATGAAGCTGCAGAAGACGTTGGGAAGCGCTGAAATGTCCTCATAATTTAAGTGCGGAAAGTCCAATGCGGATGTCCTCAAAGCTTTCAAAGGCTCCGGATTTAAGTGAGAATTGAAGGATTTCAATGGACTATATTTTTATTGTACTCGGTTTTACTAAACTAACTCACTGTTTTTTTTACTTGGTTACACTTAAGGCGAGGTCATTCGATTTTGCTCACACGATGCACGATCTGCACTCCTGAGAGAGCCTCGATCGCCACTACCACGGAACCTTCCACATCTGAATCAGGGGCATCCGCAAGTGCAGCTTGTGGATTGAGCTCGAATTCGAGAATTGTCACGCCCTCACTCTCCATGTGCAGTCCACACTTTTTGATCTCCACCTTGCCGTCGCTTACGCCAGCAATGACATCGCACACCTGCTTCAATAAATTATGATTGGGCAAGCGGCGCTCACCACCGTCCTCGCCACTGCAATGATCGATCACAGCTTCGACCTTAATCGAAAATGTTGTTGAGTCCATATGAGCACCAGTCATTAAGTGATCTATACTCGGTAAAAGATGCGCCGCAGCTGCAGCTCTAACCACATCCAGATTGCGCGGCGAGCGAACAATGTCCATCGCTTTTTGAGCAAGACTTGTTTCATACATCATTTGTCCCCACAAAACCACTTCATCGGCAGTTGGTCGAGTGGTTGGATCATGGCTTAATAGCAAACGGAGCATATCCAGAATCTCAGGACATCTCTTTGCTGCACGAAGACCAGTAGAGAACTTGCTTTCTCGAGCATCGCGAAGCGTGATATACCGCTCCATTGTAGTCCCAAATTTTTCGTGACACAACTCAAAGAGAATCATTCCGAGAGAGTACATGTCTGTCTTGGCATTGTATTTTTTGCCAGCAACTTGTTCAGGGCTTGCGTACAGATAGGTGCCAACGCCCGCTGTGACTTCATTGCTCTCTGAGATGTTCGACCACAACGACGTCGGTAAAGCAGTTTCCCGAAGCCCACCAGTACATGAGGAACCCTGATTACCATCATCGACGGATGCTGATGCGTTCAGGTTGTTGACGTTAGCAGCATAGCGCGATAAACCAAAATCCCCAAGCTTGATCTCATCCCTCTCGACATCAGCAACAAAGATATTTGCAGGTTTGAGATCTCGATGGATCAGCCCGCAAGAATGAACATGGGCTAGTGCACTTGCAATTTGTACAAAAATCTTCAGCATTCTAGACAACTCCATTGGACGGGTCGGTACAGCAAGGTAGTCGGCCAAATTTCGGCCTGCACAATACTGCATCTGAATATATAGCCAGTGATCGCATGTATCTGCTGCACTCAATGAAGAATCGTCTTCGTTACCGTGGTAAGAAGCTGGTGGACGAGATATCGATGCCTGAGAAACAAGACCTTTTTTGTGTGGCCTGTTTCGAACAACCAAGTCTTCTTCTTTCCATCCATTATCATTCACACCAGAAGACGACCCTCGGTCCCAATCAAATCCATCGTCATGGTCACTTATGACACTTTCATTGCTGTAAAATGTCTTTAACAGTCGCTGATTTTCAGAAAACTCGAGTTTTGAGATAGGTGCAAGCAAATTACTTATCAGGTAGTGTTTTGGATCACGAGGCCCTAGTACCGAGGTAACAGTTGAAGAAGATGAAGGCAGTGCTTCTGGTACACTTTGTGTCCCTTCTTCCACCTTTTCCAGCCATGCCTGATAATATCGTACAATGTTAGAGTGATCTAACAAAGCCAAAATTTTCACCTCGCGCAAAAATTTCTGTAATGTCTTTGATGTCTGGTTTTTGAGGTTTAATCCAACTCGTTTGATTGCATATTGACGTCCATCCAAGCGATTCTCCGCAAGCATAACCTGACCAAATCCACCCTTGCCTAGTGCCGATATCTCGTGAAACTCGTTAGCAAAACGGCTCTGACAAACAAACGGGAACAAAACTTCCTCCTCATTTACCGAAGTAGCAGAACCAGATGAGGAAGCTTCAGATGAATCATGGTCACTGGATTTTTCTTCGTTCAGATTTCCATCCGTATTGATTACATCTTCCATGCCATCCCTACCTTTCAGCTTTTCCTTGGTGTGGCTAGTGCAGCTGTCACTATTGCTGCAGCAGCTTCCCGTCGTTGACTCTTCAAAGGAACTTATTGATTTTGCTCCGTTTGTTGCCAAGTCATCATCCACAAGGGAGATATCGTCTTCCGAATCTGCAAACTCGAACCGCTCATGGTCAATCACACTTTCGAATGCAGAAGAAATAACCTGTTCGCAATTTTTGCGCTCATGATGAAGCACTTTTAGTGCGTATACGCCTCGAATGTTTTCAGCCGACAAAGAATTTTCCTCTGTGTAATCAAAAGATAGTCTCTTCGCAACCGCGAGTGCAGGCCCTGGACTGGGTATTTGCACATTTGACGATGACATTGATGAATCTCTGACAGTCATGTTTGTCATGGATGACGCAGAAGATGAAGACGTGATCGTTTTTGCTGCAGATTCAAAATCCGAATCACATTCTAAAAATTTCTGCGTTGCACTTATGTGGCCATTCTTGACAACTATCGCAGCTGCTTCTGTAGCGGCGAGACGAGAAAATTTCATCATCAGCATCGCTTCAATTTCAGGGTCAACAACAGCGTTTACTTCCGTCGATAAAATATTCAAAGGCTGTGGTACTTGACCATCCAAATTAAGCGCATTTATAAGCGAGCTACTGATTACACTTGAAATGGTTATGTCGTCCTTTCCTGGACGCTGAATCACAAGTCGATGTACATGTGATTTGAAGAACTGGCTACGGTCCATGGTTTGAATAGCAGTCTGCGCCAGCGAAGCTGATAATCCCTTGGCGTAACAGCCCCAGGCTAGCAACATCCCACAGGTTGCGACGCCCAGCAGCATTGCCCCAACGTGTGTGTACGTTATAAACACTCCTCGCTCGCCATCGTTCACGATAGGCTCCCAAAGAATACCCCGACGACGATTAAAATCCGTGTCTTCACTCAAGTCATGAACATCATCTGGCTGTCGCCCATGGAATGTAGGCGATCGACGTTGATTCTGACTTCTACCAAAGTCCACCACACGGTCGTCCTTGCTAGACTCAAGAAAATAATTATCACCCAGTAATCGCAGCCTAAATTTCGACTCTATTGCATTCCATGAGCGTCGAATCACAGGAACAAGTTGCTTCTCGCCTTTGAGCTTCTGCGTGCCCTGCTCCCGCCTTTCAACAACTGCTTTGTCCGCGAAGTGATCAGTGTCAATTTGATGCTGATCTTGACGTGCGTTTGGTAGACGCGATGCAGTTGTCGACGGACCATCAACTTTCCATTTGTAAAATGTCGTTCCATGTGAAGTCGACACTCCATGCACAGCGAGGACATCAAAGTCCGGAATTTCAAATTCCCAAAGTACCTCTTTTGTCCACGGATCAGATGCCACAATAGTCGATCCTTCCGAGCTTATGTCTCTTGGCATTACAAATATTTCTGGCACCACGTTGTGTTCACCATCCTCGACAAAACAATGGGCTGTTTGCACAATGTCAAAAAAGTACTCTGAAATTTTAAAACAGCGAGCAATTGACGAGTTTTGATAATTGACTGCTCGTGTGAAAAATTGAGAGCGGCCAAATAAAATCGTTCTTGCCGCCTCAGACGAAGGTACTGACGACACAAACGGGCTTCGATAGCCACTCACAGCATCCAATGTAAACATTTCCATTTTTTTCTCACCAAACAACAAGATCCCTGCAGCGGATGGTTCATCGATCAAATCATTATCACGATCCACAGCAACGTGCACAGGGCCATTTGTTCGCATAATGTCAGCCATTGTCATCCCAAGCTCCTTCACTTTAGCCTTCGAAAAATGGTACAATCTGCCATCGTAAGAAGGTACTAACTGTGAGATGAACGCTGTCCCAGCTGCTATTGCTTGTGCAGATCTCAGACGCTCTTGAATCATGTGGCGACCTGTTACTTCTTTGGTCTCTAAATTTGCCGCTGCAATGTGAACGCTTCCTTCGACATTCAAATTCTCTTCTTTCCTATCACGCGGCTTTGCTGCTGTTGTGTGGTAGCTAAGTGGTGATTCTGTAGTTTTGGTGGGAGTCAGACCTGGACACTGCGAAGTATCAACCATTGGACCACCTGAGTCGAAAGACCATAAGACTTCGCCTGACCAAGCATTGAAAGCATACACACGACCGTCCAACCCACCAGCAATTACAACGTCTGGCGACTGGGTCATAAAGGATGAGTAGGTGGGTGACACAGATGCTCGGGCATTAGTGACAAAATCAAGCGGTAGCAGCAGCACATTAAGCACGACGAGCACCAGCGTTCGACGTCTTGTCCATCTGAATCGACCACCACTTTTTACCATGATACCGCAGTTAATACAGCGACAGCAAGAATCGTTTTCTGTTTCTAAGTCCAGCCCCGCGAACAAGCGGCCGCGCGGGCGGACAAACACGCGATGCGTCCCACCTGAAGTAACAAGACGAGGCCGCAGAACAAAAGCCGCAGCCGATTGACACACGTGTGAGAGGTTCCAGACACAGACGTAGTCTCACTTGCTAAGTAACAGGGGGGCGAGAAGTGGAAGCGCCCTTACTGCTGCTTTCGCACGACAAGAGTGTTGTTCTCTTGGTGATTTGTAACAACCGCATTGTCGAGCAGCGTTTAAAATTTGTTCCTTCTCTTCTATATTCAAGTACCCTCGTATTTCGAATTAGAACGTATTTAACATATTGTCTTGTAAGAGTAGGATATAATATAATCAAAATTAATACCATCCTATACAAAAAAAAAGCATTTCGCAATTGTAAGTGTGCAACGACGTGATTGCACAAAGAGCTCCAGTCCGGCCCACAAGGTCGCAAGGCACCATGTCGGTGCAAAGGACAGTACATGTTCTCAAAACACATTCACTCTTGTCCAAATCACAGCATGTGTCATCCATAGAAAATTCGAGATCAACATTAAGTAGGTTGATCTTCACAAGTAGTTGAGCTTCAGCAGCTTTTACAGTCCTTTGACACGTGGCAAGGTAGCCGTGACTATCTGTTCGCGCCATGGTCTAGATATGTACGGATATGGGGTTGTAGAAAGATTCGTATCTTGAAGCATATAAAGCATTGTACTAAATCATGCTCTTCGGTTTACGTTACGCTAATTCAGAATTAGTAGTTTCATACGTCAGTTGCTTGGCAGTTGTTGTGTAGATGATAAGGCGAAGTATAACTCGCGATCTCTGTCAGCAGAATCAAAGTCATTCACCCTCGTGGCTTTCGTGTCCTCACAATAAATGGACGTCGCACCTATCAAGACAGCCTGTGACTCAAAGCCTCCACATTTTATAGAGCTAGACAAATTAGGAAAAGATAGAGAGAAAAGTGAATGGTATGATGAGGACAAAGAGCACAAGAGTAAAGACAGCGAGGACTGTCTGCAATCTCAAATACAACGTGAAGCAATTGATCAAGATGCTAAGCAAATAGAGACACAATTGCAACTTAACTTGAAACAACAGCAAGCACATTACGCCCATCAACGCAGAATATTTGAAAATTTGCGAAAACAGTCATACTTATCATCAAACGGTATTATTCCTACCAATTCATCCACCCAATATCAATCTAGTTCCTCTCGGAAATCAAGTTATGCAGCTATACCAAATATTAACTTTCAGCACGAAAGTTTACCACCAGACTCGCAGGCATGCCCGAAAGCGTATGAAAATCATTCATTATCTGAAGACGAATGGAGTTTAAACGAAGTTGACACAATTGCTAAGAAATTGTTTAATTGTAATCACGAACAAGCTCACGCTGAAGCTCAATGCACATTCGTCTCAAAAGATGATCAAAGATGGTCTCAGAAAGATCCAACGGCACCTTTAAAGGAGATGCATCATCAAGAGGCATCCAACAACGCATTGCATCGTCAATCGAAGCTTCTTCATCGTTTGCAATTGGAAAATAATCGTTTTTATCACGAAATGAAGTCTCTACAAGAGCAGAATGAGTCCTTGAAAGAGAGATGTGAGATACGAGAGGACGAAGTGGTACGATTACGAGAGCAAATGAATGAATTTGAAAGTCAATTTCAACCTACTTTAGTAGATGAAAAGACGGTTGCACAGACACGACAAAAAACGAAGGCGATGCAGAGGACGATAACTGCAGCTCAGGCTGAGATTTTTGACTTGCAGGCTGCTCTGCAAGAGGCAGGAGACTCACAGAGTCAATTAAAATCCGATTGTCAATTGATGATTTCGGATTTAGAGCAGCAAGTAAGGCGATGGAAACGCACGACGAAACAGCTTCGTCGGCATGAACTATGTAGTAATCAAGAAATTGAGAAGTACAAAAAGACGGTCTTATCATTAGAACGAAAGCTGATCGACACGGAAAGACAAGTTAAAAAGAAAGAGTGTGAGACCGCTCGATTTGCTGCGATAACAGAGAAAAAGACTGCGCACTGTAAAGCTGTTGAGATGTCCGCTACGGATTGTGTCATACGATTAGAAGACAAGATTGAGACGTTGCAAGAAGCACATGAACACGAGTGTAAAAAGCGCAAGGAAATGGAAACTGCATGTTGCAACTTGCAACTGCGAATGGAACACCTGCAAGCAGAATATGCGTTGCGGTTGGAAAAACAACGGGAGCTTGAGCAACAAATTGTCGATTTTCAAGAGAATCTAATGAAGTGTGAGCAAACGAGTCAGGATCAACTTGAGAAAATGGCTTTTCAATTAGAAGAATGTGATTCTAGGCGCAACGGTGACGCTGCGACGATCAATGGTTTACGTGAGGAGTATGAAAGTCTTGAAAACCGTTTGAGAGAATCACAAGTAAAAGCAAAAGAACTGAAAAGTCATCTGATGAATGAAGCTCATGTTGTAAAGAGGCATGCTGAGGCGCTTGGTGCGTACATGAAAAGAGTGCTTGACAGCAAAGACAATCTTGATTTGCTGGCGCTGATAAGTCAAGAGGATCTGGATCAATCAAGTTGTAAATTACAAATGGCAGAGCTGCTTTTTGTACAAGATGCGATGTCTATACTGCAAACTGAGACGATAAATCTTGTGCGTGAGTTTCAGCGCACGAAACACATGAGTCGTCAGCAAGGGAACAACCTTTCGCTTGCTATCGATCGTGTTTCTGAACTTGAGCAATTGCAAGCTCAAGAAGCCGTAATGATGAAAGATTTGCGTGATCAGTGCAAAGTTGCCGAGGAGGCACGAGCAATTGTCACACAAGAGAAGCTTGACATTTTAGAGTGGAGTGGAAAATGCTGCAAGCGAAAGGAAGAGACTGAATCAGAGTTGACAATGTGCAAACAACTGTTAAATGGTTTGCGAAAGACAATTCACGATGCTTTGAAGACGGAAAATTTTCGTATTGATTTAGATGTCGAGCATGATGAACTACTTGTGCAGGCATGTCATTCTTTTGAAAACGAAATCGCTGCCCTAGTAGCCATAAAAGATCATTGGAGAGGTAAATACGAAAAATGTTTAAACGATGTAAAAGATAAGCAAGCACAAAATCAAAGTCTAAACGAGATTATATCCGAGAAAACGGAAGAATTTCAGAAATCAGTGTGTGAAGTTGAACGTGTTTACAGCGAAAAACTACACGTTCAGCAACTTCAATTTGAAAAGCAATGTCTAAAGTTGGCAAATGATCATGCTGTGCTAGAATCAAAATTTCGAGGAGAGTCTGTCAGAGTTGTCGAAAAAGAAGGAGATATTGCAAAGCTGCAGCAAATGGTCGATGGTATGGAGAATGATCGCTCTGTGTTTACCTCAATACTTCATCTCTTTGTTCTCGTAGTGCAGCCACTAGTTCTCCAAGTGGGTGATCTACAAGCGCAAAAGCGATATCTCTTACGTGAAAATGCCGAGTATGCTAAACAACACGAGCAGATTGAGTGTATTGGGAATGTTTTAAGAGAAATGCTGCCTGCTGTCGTGCAGGATGACGAAAAAGTTTGCGAACGACCAGGAAGACGAGTATTTCGACATGTAGTAAGCACTGTGCTTGCCATTAATAGGTTTCGTATTTTTGCTGATCATCGTCAAAGCACGTACGGACTTGCAGCTCCGTTTATGAAGACTAAAAGATACACACTTGCAACGGCAGCCCATTTAATTGTTATAAAAGTGTTACCTCCACGGCAAACTTTGTCTGAATCCGCTATACGTTTGCTCTTGGATCGATTCCAAAATCTGAATATAACGTTAAAATTGGGAGAAGTGGTTGACGCGAGTCGGGTCATGTCTGCGAATTTGCCAGTATTTCTTGGTAATCTAATTTATAATGTGATGATGGTGATTGACCCCACGTTAGACAGATTATTCGTCGCGTCTGACAACGGAAAGGCTCGCTGCAAAAGGGTTGCTGATCAATACAATGATTTGTCAACAGTAGCGCTTATTCGAAAACGAATACTAGCTCTTGGTCAACGAGTGGCAGATTTGCTCCATCAGCGAAACTTGTTGCAGCAAGAGAATGGTGAACTTCAGTCCCAACTTAATGAACAGACCAACAGCTTAAAGGAAATGCATGTATTATCAGAAAGGTGTGATGACCTTCAACATGAAATGGCGGCATTGCGTAGCCAAACCGACAGCGAGTTACAAAAGGCACAGAAGGAGCACAACGCCAATGATCAAGAAAGGCAACTTCAGGAGAGCAATTTGGTCGCCGCACAAGCTAAAATTGAAGCGTTGCTGTGTCAGGTATTTAGACTTCAAGGTCAGATTGAACAGGTGGAAGCTGAAAAGTCTACGTTGCAGTGTGTACTTGATCAGTTGCAAAGCAAGTCAATTGAAGAAGAAAGCAAAGCCAATTATTTGTCATCGCTTTCTCGTCGATTAGAAGAGGAAGTACGAAGTCTCAAACAGGCGATCAAATCGGCGCACGAGCTTTATCAGAAGGCTAGTTTACAGCTGGAACAGGAGGTTCTGGAAAAAGCTAAACTGCATACAATGGTGAACCTTCTTCGTCAAAAGGAAGAAAATGAAACTCAAAAATTTCGTGAAGAAAGGTTGCAGAAATTAGAGAAGACTTTACGAAGCGGTCTAAAAGAGGAGAAATCTTGTATTGAGACAATGGTGCGACAAAATGAAGAGACAGCTTATGGTGCAAACTCTACTCTTTCAACAAACAAGCCGACAGAACAATCAAGTTTTGCGCAAAATATTGATACTGTCGTTTCTAAGAATGTTGCGCCTTCGTCACGGCAACATACATGTGAAAACAGTGTCTCCGATAAAAATGGTAAAAATGACGATTTATTTCGGTTGCCTTCATCACCCTTCAATCACTCTACTAGCTTTTACTTTTCCAAAGATTGGCAGCGATCGAATGTACCAAGAGCACCAAAAGATGCCAATTCTGGATCAAGCCGCATATATAAATTCCAGACCGACACTATTGATTTGAACAACCTGGTCACAATGAATTCATTGACTAAGTCGAACGAGAGCAATTCGAATGAACAGAGTCGAAAAAGAGTTGAGACGGAAAAGGTCAATGCTACTGTGTACGATTACATCAACCGAATGGACGACAAATTGAGCAAAGTGTATGGTATTCCGCCCTCGACTAAGGTCCGGCGCTCTCAACTTGTCAAAAACCCGATTTGGGACACTTAAATTCTCGATAAACATTTGGTATCGAAACCTCAAACTTGGACGGACAATGTTAAGTCACTTCCTCTGATTCCCTGACTAATTTTCTTGTATGACAAAACTCATTCAATCTTTTTTTCAAGCGAACAACTTTTGATGAAAGCTACTTTATGCATCTAACTCGACTAGCAAACCTTTTGTGTCTGCAATGCACATATAAAAACGCAGCAATGTCTTCTCCACAACTTTCCTGGGCACATAAAATCATCGCTTCTAATCAAATGTAAATTAAAGTCGCTACTTTGTAGTATATTCTGAAAGGTAGTTGGTGGTAAGTCTCTTTTGTTTACAATAATTATATAAAACGCTAAGATCGTTTTTCTTTTTTGACATGCACTTAGATGATCTCAAGCTGCCGTGGCTGAGCTGTCGTCTCATCATTTTCATACCCCTCGCAACTGTGAGTGCTGAAATTGCCCTCTTGTTGAATCTGCGTTTCCGCTTCAGTCTCAGTCGTTGCTGTCGTCCTAATCACAACACTTTGGTCTTCAACTCTCAAATCTGTCTCTACAGTCTTGAACTCGGTATTTGTCTCTGTCGTTTCTGTCTTATCTTGACTTGGCGTCATAGTTTGTCCTTCAGCACTTCCCAGGTGCAAAATTTGAGCTAGCGACGGCAAATGATTATTACTAGGCGATCCATGTGAAGCTGCCGCGTCAGGCATTGTTAGACTATCTGCGGTTACACTTGCTTCTATTTGCAGATAATCTTGCTTTTCTTGATTCATTGTCGTAGCCTGTTGCGCCAGAATATTCAGCAACTGGTCATTCGTGACTCCAGCTGCAGCTGCTGCCGCAGCCACAGCCTCTGCGTTGATCTTGACCTGCAAATCGGTCACGCTATAAGGTGAAACGATAGTTTGAGGCTCAGTATTAATGTCCACGGGCACTGGGTCAGATGTCAGTGTGACGGAATTCGTACTTGGCTTCTTCTGGTTACGCAACCCACGCTGTCGCCGATGAATCTTTTGACGGTACTTCTGAGCATGTGTCATCGTTTGGCGCGGTGTCTTGGTACCAATAAAGTCGGCAACTTTCTTCCAAGGACCAGCCGGAAACTTTTCAAGCGCTGCAAGAAAACGCTCGTGCTCTTCTTTTGTCCACATTTGGATCTTGTTTTTGGCTGACATGACAACGGCACCTGCCTTTGCTTCTGTGGGACGCAAACGAATTACCTTTTCCTTGGCTGCGCCATCTGTAGTGTCTGGTGCTTGCTCGAAAAGCTGATTATACACGTTGCGCGAGATGGTCATGACCAGTGTCTTGGAACTGCTGGAGACTGGCAATGGAGCTGCTGCAGCACAACGCTTTTAACAACGTATGGCGTGTACCCATTCTACCTCGCTGTTTGTGGTTGGTAGAAAAGGAGACGTTGCTCACAGCAGAAATCTATGTGATTTTTCAGATTTATGCAATTTTGGGGGTAGCAATAACCACATAATATGCCGTTGTAATCCATTAATGATACCAGAAGATTTAATTTATGTCATAGATTACCGATACAACTTCTTCGCAACAGCATGATCGCTCGACTCAACAAGCGTTTGGGTAACAATACGGCGTGACTGGCACGCCTTACAATGGCAATTACAATAAGCGTATTGACAGGTTACACAATCACGACATTCTTCACAAATTTGACTCATAGACATAACCATACTCTACACAGGGATCAATCAAAAGCTCTGCAGCGGGGCTGCCGTAGTGTTGCGCTTAGAGAAAGCGTAATTTAGGTCACCGAC